CAAAATCATTACAAATTTTAATGTACATAAAGACGCCATTAATTGTTTGTATAATACCAAAATTCATATAAAGTTAAAAATGCAGCTTTTGGAATATAGTGGGTGTTTATATTTATCATGGTGGAACTGGGTTTTTTGACTCAATAGTTGGTGGCATGCAAATGCAAAAGCCTGAAAACAGTTGTAGGTACATCATAAAACGTTACGTCATCAGACAAGAGTCCACACTGTTGAAGGTAGTATATTGGCATAGATAGAGAACTCATTAATGGGCAGGAAACAGCGAATGGGGATAAGAGATTCTTTTTCAGGTTGGTGACCTGTGATCAGTGGGTTTCCACAGGGGTCAGTGCTGGGGCCACAACTGTTTACAGTAAAACATGACTTGGAGGAAGGAAGCGAATGTACTGTCAAATTTGCAAATGACACAAAAATAGGTGAAAAGGCAGGTTGCGAGAGGGTCACAAACAGTTTAGAGATATTGATAGGTTAAGTGGGCAAAAATTTGTCAAATGGAGAAAAATGTGAAGTTGTTAATTTTGTGAGAGAGAACAGAATATTACTTAAATGGAGAAAAACTACAAAAAGCTGCAACATTAAGGAAAGTGGGGGTACTTGTGCACAAAATAGAAAGCTAGCACACAGAGATAACAAGGTGTAGAGCTGGATGAACACAGCAGACCAAGCAGCATCAGAGGAGCAGGAAGGCTGACGTTTCGGGCCTAGACCCTTCTTCAGAAGCTAGCACACAGGTGCAGTAGGGAATTGTGAAGGCTAATGCAATGTTGGCCCTTATTTCAAGGGGATTGGACTATAAGAGTAGGGAAATCTTACTGAAACTGTACAGGGTGCTGGTGAGACCACATCTGGAGTACCATGAGCAGTTTTGGTCCCCTTATGTAAGAAAGTTTATTATTTCATTGGAGGAAGTTCAGGGAAGGTTCACTAGGATGATCGCTGGTCTGGAGGGATTGTCTTCTCAGCAAATGTTACACAGGTGAGGACTCTCCTCATTGGTGATCTCATTGAAACGTACAGGATTCTTAAGCAGCTTGACAGGGTAAATGCTGAGAGGACATTTTCCGTCATGGGAGGTCTAGGTGAAGAGGGCATAGTCTCACAATTAAGGGGTGCCAATTTAAGACTGCAATGAAGAGGAATTTCTTCTTTCAGAGGGCTAAAAGTCTTTGGAACTCCTTATCACATTCAGCTGTAGTGATAGAATCCTTGTTATATTTAAGGCTGAGGTAGATAGATTTTTGATCAGTGGGGGGAATCAGGGTTATGGGGAAAGGGCAAGAAAGTGGACACGTGGAACGCCACTTCAGCCATGATCCTATTGAATGATCGAGCAGGATCAGGAGGCTGAATGGACTACCATTGTTCCTATTTTTACAGTCTTACAGCCTTGTGGTTGATTTAGGATAATGGGATATGGTCTAAAAGATTAAGGACAGATCTTTTAAGTGGAATTAGGAAACAATTCTACACACACACAGATGCAAGTTTGGCACCATCAAACAGCAAATGATGCTGGATCAGTTACTAATTTTAAAACTGAGATTGATATATTTCTGTTGATCAAAGTACTAACCAATATGAGGCAAAGGTATGTAGATCTAGGTTGTAGATCAGCCATGATCTCCTAGTATGGCAGAAGAGGAATAGGATTGAGAGATCAAAAGACCTATTTCTGTTCTCACCTTCTGTTATGTACCTAGGATGTAAAATATTATTCCCCAAATCAAAATACAAATCCATTAGTAAAGTAGGTGCTTGGAAAGGTGGTGAATGCCACTTCAATCTGACAAATTTTATAAGCAACTAGACTAGACAGAGACATGGAAGAGTTAGGTATGCATGGATATGGATCAAACGCAGGCATGTGGGACTAGTTAAAATTGTGAAAACTAGGAAGCATGTTGGGCCAAAGGGCCTGTTTCTATTCTGTAGACCTCTGCACCTGATTTGAAATTCTATGTTGTGCACAATTAGTTAGAAATCTTGCCAAACTACCATCTGGTGGCTTTAAGTCTTGTCCTATCTATTCTATTTAAACAGATTTATGTGCAGATCAGAGACAGATAGCTGTACCAGCAACATTCTATTCAATACACGCTCTTATTTACTAGGATGGTGGTGCTTTTAAACAGGAAGGATCTGCACATTTGAAAATTGATCCAGGTAAATGCTGCAGGACTGAGTAGCAGAACCGTCACCATAAAATCAATATTGTGCTGGTATGTTTAATTGTCTAGATTAGAATAGGGAGCTTTTAACATCATTCAGATCAGGGAGGCAGAAGAATGCCAAATGGGGAAGGCAATGTTTAAGGACTTACGTGTTGAGTAAAGCCTGCAATTTTTTTGTGCAATTTCCGTACAAGAACAAAATATGCTCAGGAGTATTTTGAAAGAGATTTAGTTGGCTGTAGATTATGCGATAATTAGGTTCCAAGAACTGTCCACGTGAACTGGATTGCCACATGAAAAGCTAAGGAGCAAAGGGTAACTAGTCAGTTCATTTCAGTAAGACTGAATTTCAATTATTTTGTTTGGAAGTTTAGAACCCTGAGAATTTGTGCAAAGAAAAAGAAACAGACAAGACTCTCTCTGAATGGGACAATTTTCTATATGGCAGAACAGATCCTGCTGTTGAATAGCACAGAGTGTGTGTTACTGAGTATTATACAGTGGGAAAGAACAGAATGGTGAAGACAGGAACAGAGACAGAGAGATTGTGGATTAGTCAACACTGCACGCAATACAGATCTTATTTAGAAATTTAAGCAGGAAAATAGAAACTTGGATTTTGTTTCAAAAAAACTCATAACTGTGGTATGTTATTTTGCTAGAACTGAATTTAATACTTTTGAGGCACGACAGTATCAGGTGTCCTGAAAAAAAAAAGCCCATCAATTGGATTTGGATTGGTTTAAATACAATTTAACACAGACCTCCAAAAAGCATGTAGGCAATCCTCTCTTCTTTGTTGAAAAGGTCTTCAAAAACTTTGCAAAAGGGGAAGAAAACTTTTAATTCAAGACAAGATCTAACTCCAACTGACCAGCTATCAAATTGAGGATTACCATAATCAACACCATGCTATCATTGCCAAAAATGAAAACTGAGAGAAAAATCATCATATTCATCCTGTTTGGCTTGGGTTTCGACTGACAAATGTTGTACTTCTTTTACCTACATTGTCCACCTATAATATTCCTAAAGAAAGCTGTTTGTCTAATCGCTTTGATGGTGTTATGTATAAAAGAATGTGTGTTTAGGTTTAAAGGTATACTTTAAGTTAATAATTAATAATCTGTTTCCTAATATGTTAGAGGATAATTTTGTAAAGATTTTGGTTTACTTGTTCATTGATTAAAAACTGATGAGTTTCTTTTATCTTATGTGATGGTCACAATCAGGTATTAACCATCTAGAAATTAAATTGGTCATATTTCACACTTGTGTTGATTCCTGGACTAGTGAGGCTTGATTTCCAGTGCACTATTCCCACCAGTGTCATGATAAAACTGAGTGCTGCTTTTTTTCTAATTCATTCATATTCAACATGGGGGCACTGGCTGGGCCAACGTTTATTGCCACTGTAGTTGCTCCCGAAAGGTGGTGGTCAGCTGTCTTCTTGAACCCTTGCAGACCATTTGCCGTAGATAGACCTTTCCAAACTCCACACCATCCAACACAAAGCATCTCACTCGTACAGTACCCGATTCAATATTCACTCCCTCTGCCACTGGCACATAGTGGCAACAGTTTGTGCCATCTACAGGATATACTGCAGTAACTTCCAAAGCTCTTTCAACAGCACCTTCCACATCTCTACCAGCTTGAAGATCAAGGGCAGAAGCACTTGGAAACATGAGAACCTGCAAGTTCCTTTCCAGTCCATATACTATACTGCTTTGGGGCTATATCATTATTCCTTTACTGTCACTGGGTCAAAATGCTGAAAGCGCTCCCTAACAGAACCCCAATGGACTGCTGCAGTTCAAGATGATCACCCACCAACACTTTCTAAAGGTCAATTACTCAAGTGCAATGAATGCTGGCCCAACCAGGGATGTTAATATATCATCAAATAAAACTAAAATGAGTTCCTTTAGCATATGAATTCCCTTCGCCTTCTCACATTCGGCATAGTTTCTTTGAGGACTAGGGAAGATCACCTCCATTCAATACCAATCTCACCAATCTCAAGTAGGATAGAACAAGAGTAACATCGTACCAAATTTCCTGAAATTCACTTGCCCCTCCCCCTTCCAAAAACACTATCCAGCCTCTGTTCAGAATCTCCTCACAGATACACCAAAATACTTTGCAGTCAACTAAATACTTTTGAAACATAGACCTTGTTTTAGATGTTGCCTATGAGAGAAATATTGCCAAGGACACGAAGAAGAACTGCCACATTGTTTCTGAAATGATGCCATGGGATTGTTTTATGTGCTTCCAAGAGGGCAGGCTCATTGCAACATCTCATCTTAAATGGGTGACCACTGACAGTGCAACATTCCATGGGTACTGCACAAGCATATGCGCCTAGATCTCTGCTCAAGTCAGAGCCATCAACTAAGCTGATACTAATGACCATCAATAACTCAGCATGGGAATTAAGGCTGTGTTAAATCACTTACAAGACTGCACCTTGGCATTCCAACATATTTCATGCAAAAAAATGTCCAAGTAGTTTTGCTTTACCCTTTCTTATATCATCTATTGTCATGATTTCTTCAACCAGCATGGCAAATGAATAGAATGATACCACACAGAAGGAGGCTGTACGACCATCGTGTCAGTGAAAAGAACTATCCAAAAATTCCCACGTCGCCTGTTAGCTTCCCACAGTCCTCCAAACTTCCCCTTTTCAAATGTTTATCCTTTTGAAAGTCACTATTGAAGTGACTTCCATTGTCATTTCAGCTCATATGTTCTAGATCATAAATTAGCTACATGAAAAAATAATCTCCATCTTCCTAGCGGTTTGTTTTTGCCAGTTCTAGCAAATTTAATGCCACGAGTTATTACACTTCACACCTTACATCAGGAGAAGTTAAACCGACAGTCTCTTACACTAATGTCTCTGGAATCACAGTGGCTGCTGGGCAACAAACACCTCATTCTAACATAACACTCTCCAAACCCATTATTTGTGGATGGTAACTTCAGAAGATGTTGGGTTGATTTGTGGAGTTCAGCAAATGTCCCATTTACATTCTTCAGAAGAAGACAAACAATAAAATCACATAGCATGGAGATGTCCAGCCTCAACGAGATGAAGCAATGGTTCAGTGGAGGGTCTACAGTGGCTAGTGAGGAGGGCAGGAGACACAGAAGAGAATTCTGAAGAATTTTGAAAGTGAAAGCTTCAAAATTAAAATCTCACTTAGTTTTTAAAAAAAATTCTTTATATGCCATTCATGCATCACAATTTAATAATTCTAAGTTGAAAGCTAAGTGCACAAATATCAGTTAATGCTACATTTTCCTCTGGGCTGACAGTAAGCTGTGTGGGATTGTAGATGGATATATATGACAGCGTGTCTCCCAGACACCGGTCCTGAAATGAAACATGACTACTTCCATGTCATAATGGATTACAGATAGCTTCTGGGAACAACTCAGCTACATCCTTTCTCAGCTGCAGACTCACAAAACCATGCTTTGGGGTCACAAGATTCTGGGTAGTTTAGGTAGAAGGAGAATGGTTAAAATGTCTCTGGATTTATACTAGGTCTCTTGTACACTAAGCTCTATCTCTGAGCATAGCTGTATTTTGGCATCTCTCTTCCTGTGGACATTGAGGTGCTTTCTCAGGTGCTGAGAGACCCGGAAGGTCTTGCCACATTTGCTGCAAGCAAAGGGCCTCTCTCCAGTATGAATTCGCTGATGTTTCTTCATCTCCTTCAGCAGGGTGAAGCCCTTATTGCAGTAACTGCAGGAATAAGGCTTCTCGCCCCTGTGAGCCCTCAGGTGTGCCTGGAAACAGGCAAAGTCATTGAAGCCCTTACCACATTCACTGCACAAGTACTGCTTGACCCCTGTGTGTGTATAGCGGTGGGTGTCCAGGTATGCTGCCCGTGTGAATGATTTACTGCAGTCTGGGCACTGATAGGGCCTTTCACCAGTGTGAACTCGCAAGTGTCTGTGCAGCTCGCCACTGCCTTTGAACTGCTTGCCACATTCAGGGCATTCCAGGCTCTCAAGTCCTTGGTGTGTCTGGAGGTGGAGCTGGAGGCCAGAGGGTCGTTTGTACGACTTGTTGCACATCACACATACGTGGGTTTTTCCTTTCAGGTGGATCTTCTGGTGTGCCCGAAGGTTGGCAATCTGGGCAAAACGCTTCGCACAGACCATGCATGAGTGGGGCTTCTCCCCACTGTGGATGCGTTCATGGATGCGGAGATCCCCTGGTTGCACAAAGGCCTTCCCACACTCTGCACATTTGTGGGGCCGCTCATTTCGGTGGTAGTCCACGTGTAGCTTGAGGTGTTGGAGCCGCTTGAAGGACTTGCCACAGAGCTCGCATGTGAAGGGCCGTATTGAGGTGTGGGTCTGGCAGTGGTCGAAGAAATGACCCCGGCGGCTCGTGCTGTAAGCGCACTGTCCACACTTGTACTCCTTCGTACCACCCTGTGGCTGTGAATCTGTCCCTGGGCTCGTCACAGTCCCACCTTCATGTGCAAGGGCAATCTCCTTCTCCATCTCCCGATCCTCTTCACCGACGTCCATCACGACAACATTCAGATCTGGACACAAAACAAGCAAAAAAAAAATCTTAAAGTATCATTTTCCTTGGAACATAGGAGCAGAGGTAGATCTCTCAGCCCCTTTATCCCGTTTCATCCATCAGTCATGTCTGATCAATAGTTCAACTTCACTTACTGCCTTTGCGCCATATGCCTTGATACCTTTGCCTGACAAAGCTCCTCGTCTTAACCTTGCAAGTTCCAACTATCTCAGCAATCCACTCTTTTAGAGAGAGTCCACGATTTCCATTACCCTCGGAGAAAAATTATTTTCTGGTTTCCCTCCAAAATGGCCCGACTCTTTAACAATTACGTGTCTTATTCTTGATTCCCCAAATGTAGAAGTATTTTATCTGACCTATCAAATCATTTTATTGTTTTTAATGACTGGATTAGGTTACCTCTCAATTATCTGTACTTTTATTCAGTTTCAGGAACACATCGGGAAACGTTTCTACGGATTTTCCCTCATTATACGGATATCTGATGACACTCGCAATGTTTGGGAATTCTGTGGAGGAGTGTGCAAGGTGAATTTGCACTGTACGGGACCATAAGGCCATATTAAAGAGGAGAAACAAAGAGTACAGATGACTGGAAGAGACATAGTACAAGAGGAAAAAACAGAAGTTCAAAAGTGAAACAGATCAGACGTGGGGCAAATTCAAGAAAGTCTAAGATAGGTTCATACTACACGTACATAAATGTATACAGCATGACAACAGACTGGGTCGCTGTCTTTACGGCAAAGAATCTTTGGAGAAGATTTGTCAGAGGTATTCAGAATCATTCAGGGTTTTGACGGATTAAATCGGTAGAAACTGTGGCAGAAGGTTAATAACCAGAAAACACAGATTTAAAGTGACTGGCAAAAGAACCAGAAGTATCTGGAGAAAATACTTTTTAATCAGAGTTTTTTTTTTTACTGTGTTATTTGTGAGGGAAGTTTCACTTGTATGCTTTAAAAGTGAACTAAATTATGAATTGAAGGGCAACAAAATGAACAGGGCTATGGAGAAAGAGCTGGGGAATGGATTTATCTAGATACTTTATGAAAAAGCTCACACAGGCATGAGGATCCCTCCCAAGTCACTCACCATCCTGACTTGGAAATATATCATTGTTCCTTCACTGTCGCTGGGTCAAAGTCCTAGAATTCCCTCCCTAAGGGCATTGAGGGTCAACCTACAGCACATGGATTACAGCGGTTCAAGAAGGCTGCTCACCACCACCTTCTCAAGGGCAACTAGGGACAGGCAATAAATGCTGGCCAGCCAGTGACACCCACATCCCACATGAGATCAAAAAAAAAAGCCTTGAAAGGATTGGTTGGAAAAGTTAACATATTCACCACTTCAGTTAAAAGAAAGGGTTTGCATTTGTATAGTACATCAGGATATCACAAAACACTTCAAAGCCAATGAAATAATTTAGATATAGTCAGTGATATAATGGGGAGAAATCCAGCAGCTAATTTTCATGCAAGGTTCCACAAAAACCATTGATCTGATTATAAATTTCAGTGAAGTTGGCTGAGGAACAGATTCTGACTAGGACAATGGACAATGCCCTCCTGGTGTTTGTTATAGTATTGTAGAATCTTCTTCACCCTTTTGAGATAGCAGACAACACCTCCAATACTGCCCTACTCCCTGCAGTAAAGAATCAGTCTAGATTTTGTGTTTATACTTCTGCAGTGGGACTTTAATCCACAAAATGCTGCCACTCAGCTAAGGCTGACAAGTTACGTCATTCCAAATGCAAAATGAGAAAGCAGTAAATGCCTGATGTCAGATAACAATGCAAATAAGACTGGCAAAAGACACTAAATTTAACTTACAGCATGTAAGAAGTTTAAGTCATCAACATTTAGTGTTAGCCTACCCTGGCCTAACTGTCTTTGTTAACATGGAAACAAAAGAAAGGAATCTCCCAAACAATAGTCATCACAGAAAATACTTTCACCAGCCTCTTCCCACCACATCTATTCCATTAAAACCATTTACTTACCACTCTCCACCTTGGAATCTCTGGTCTTCAGTGCACTATCCGAGGCCTCATTTTGACCAACATCACCAAACCACACTAGCAATGCTGATCCTGGCTCTATAGATTTGCATACACGGAAGTACACCAGATCTTTGTACAAGAAGGGAACTGCATTTTGCTCAGTCCTATTCCTTGCAGAGTTGGCATACCTGAAAAGTCAATGATTACAATCACTGAAAATGCATGAAATGATTCAGTACAAATACATCAAAGAGAGGAGGAAACCATCCACCAACAGGCTGCAGTCTGACAAAGCTGAGTATACATATACATTCCATGCACAAAAGATCATAAAATGTTCTACGTATCATACCTCATCCAGTTTGATTCAGACTCCATAGTCTTACATTTTGACACAAAGTGGCATCTCTACATTAAAGAAAGGAAGATGGAAAAATTATTTCAAGCAAAAATACCTAAAGTAGCATCAAGATGCAACAGTCCAATATACTGGAGCTCTGAATGAAATCTAGTTGGAGCACAGCATAGAACATGCTTCTCTGGATAGTGAGGTTCTGTTCTCAACAATGCCAGGATAGGGTTGAAGCTATGCAACTCCCACATTGAAGGATTGTTGAGAATACTCTAAAACAAATATGTATCTGGGAAACACTGGACATATTTGGACAGTTGTACCATATGTAAGCCACCTACTGTTTTTACTGAAAATCGGTTGACTTTAGAGAAGCTAAGCTCTGAAAGAGATAAGAAACACAATTTATTTCCATAACTACTGAAAAAAGAAATATGACTTGAGGAGGACTAGGGGCCTGTGCAGCTGGTTGCCAAGTAACCCTCTTTGGTTCAGAATTCTATTTTTCAGGTCTAGAAGTCAGTGAGTAGACATCCCAGAAGCTGCAGTCTCTGTCCTAAAATCCTGTTTCCTAGAAATCCTTGGGAATTTGACAGTTTCCAAATACCAATGTTTCTGCCTCCCTGGTAAAAGCTGAAGTAGCAGACTGTGTTCAATTCTAAACAACTCGAATCCAAATTGATTGGATCAAAACTGGACAACTGTCATTAATCTATAGTCATCTGCAATTTAGCATTGTTGAGAAAAGGTGAGATATCAAAACATTTTATCCTTTTTTTCCAGACCTTTGGCCCTCAGGAGTCGTAGAGTCACAGAAACATAGAGACAGACCCTTCGGTCCAACTCATTCATGCTGACCACTTATCCTAAATAAATCTGATCCCAATTGTCAGCATTTTGCCCATATCCCTGTAAAGCATTCTATTCACATACCCATCCAGATGCCTTTTAAATGTTATAATTGTACCAGCATCTAACACTTCCTCTGGCACCTCATTCCACAAATGCACGACCCTCTACATGGAAAAAGGTGCCGTCAGGTCCCTTTTAAATCTTTCCCCCCTCACCTTAAACCTATGCCCTCTAGTTTTGGATTCCCCCACCCAGGGGAAAAGACCTTGTCTACTTATCCTATCCATGCCCCTCATGATTTTATAAACCCCTATAGGGTCACCCCTCAGCCTCCTCTGCTCCAGAGAAAATAGCCCCAGTCTATTCAGCCTCTCCCTATAACTCAAACCCTCCAACCCTGGCAACATCCTTGTAAATCTTTTCTGAACCCTTTCAAGTTTCACAACATCCTTCCTACAGCAAGGAGACCAGAACCGCACACAGTATTCCAAAAGTGGCCTAACCAATAACTTGTACAACTGCAACATTAACTCCCAATCACTATACTCAATGCACTGACCAATAAAGGCAAACATATCAAACGCCATCTTCACTATCCTGTCTATCTGTGACTCCACTTTCAAGGGACTATAAACCTGCACGCCAAGGTCTCTTTGTTTAACACTCCCCAGGACCTTACCATTAAGTGTGTAAGTCCTGCCCTGATTTGCCTTTCCAAAATGCAGCACTTCACGTTTATCTAAATTAAACTCCATCTGCTACTCCTCAGCTCACTCTTTTTTTGCCATTTTCCCATCATTTCTGCAGAGACTTCTCTGATTCTGTTGCATCTGTGTTTGTGCATGAGGTTAAGCGAAAATAGTTTTAATTCTGAATCATAGCTTAGGTGTGAACCAGAGTTTGCCACTTGCTTTAAGAATAAGTTTTTTTTCAATTTTCAGTTCATGAAAAAAGCCTGGTGACTTTTTTAAAAAAAATTTTTGTAGTTTAACTAAGGAGAAGCAATTGGCCATTATGGTAAACAGATCAGTAAAATTCCATCAATGGTGCGACTGGTGGAGTAGTAGGGCTTGATTATCAGTGCCTGCTGCTGTAACAGCATGGAATACTTCAAGGACAATCACTTATTTTGCACTTCTTGCGGACCCACTCAGCAGCAGCACTAAAAGAATTCAGGAGTCAGTTAAGTGCTGTCTCCTCATGTACACAAGAAAGAAAGATATTCTTACCTTGAGTAGGATCTACCACTTTCCCCACAAAGGGATTTTTAAATCTCTTGTGCACCAAAGCAAATAACATGAGAGACACTAAGTAACTGCTCATCACTTCCCCAAAGGAAGAAGGAAAATCACAAATTAACTAGTCTCTGGGCAACTTTTACATAACTCCAAGAGACCATCATTGGCAAAGGTCCAAAAGCAGTAGACCTGCACTTGAGGCAACAAGAGGTGAATGGATCAGTGGTGCCCAGATAAAATGTGAATGGATTTGTTTACTACATTTTCTTTCATGTATCTACATAATTAAAAACTTGAACATATTTTTATATATCACTGTTTGTAATTTTCCTAACATGCACACGAGGCCGTCCACATCAGGACTTTCTCCAATTTTGTTTCTTGCTTGACCTACTATATTACACAAGGAGCATTTTTCCCCCAAGGACTCTTCCTCCATATAACCTGATCTAGACTAAAATATCCACCAAAAGACGGTAATTAGGAAGAGAAGGGAATTATGAGTGTAAATGAATATTGGGGCGGATACCAGGCACTCAATTGAGAATTTAACATATTAACTTGCATTAGGAAGGACAGTCCACTTAAACATTAAATAATCTCTGGATTAAGAACAGAGACTAACTTACTAGCCAAGAATGCAGAGCAGATCCTTTAGATTCATTATCAAAAATGCCTCCTCGCATAGGACCAAAGACAACTCCTTTAGGTATTGTCTTCATGGTGCACCAAACCCCTAGCCCTTGGTTGGGATCCTCAGAAGGGCCCAATGCCAGTCCATATGGAAGTGAATATAATGTCCGATAAGGTATTCCATGGGCCACAGGACAATCTTTGATAAACAATGGAGATGCATGTACAGGGCATGTATCAACAAAGAACTCCTGACAGTCTTCACAAACTAGAAGACAGAAAAAGAAAATACATTTTTACAAGCAAATAACCTTCACAATTAAGTGCAGAATTTCACAAATGAACTTGTAATAAAGAAATAGTGCTCAGTCTTTCAAATAAAAACTATTCTTTCAGTTTCTCCAGTGACTATATAATGTTATGGCCACTGTCTGTGCAATAATTTCACCTATGGGAATCTGCCAACCATCTCCCTAATGTACAACAGCAAACAACCCATCTATTGTAACATTTCACCCACTGACAATGGGCACTGCCATCATCTCACCAATGTGCTACTTTCTATATCCACATTACAGCCTTGGTTCAAACAGAGACAACTAAAAGAGCTGAATTCTAGAGGTGAGATAAGAGTGACTGCCCATGACATCAAGGCTGTATTTGACTGGGTGTAGCATTAAGGAGCCCAAGCAAAACTGGGATCAATGGGCATCAGGGGGCAAACACTCTGTTGGTTGGAGTCATACCTGACACATAGGAAGATGATCATGGTTATTGGACGTTAGTTATCTCAGCTCCAGGACATCTCTGCAGGAGTTCCTCAGGGTAGTGTCCTAGGCCCAACCATCCTCAGCTGCTTCATCAATGACCTTCCTTCCATCATAAGGCCAGAAGTGGGAATGTTTGCTGATGATTGCACAATGTTCAGCACCATTCACAACTCCTCAGAAACTTAAGCAGTCTGTGCTTGAATGCAACAAGATCTAGACAATATCCAAGCTTGGGCTGACAAGGGGCAAGTAACATTTGTGCCACACAAATGCCAGGCTATGACCATCACCAATAAAAGACAATCTAATCACTGCCCCTTGACATTCAGTGGTATTTCCATCACTGAATCCCCCACTATCCACATCCTGGAGGTTATCATTGACCAGAAACTCAACTGGACTCACCACGTAAACACAGTGGCTACAACAGCAGGTATGAGTACAGTGGGGTCTTGATCAGATGGGCCAATGGGCCAAGTAGTGGCAGATGGAGTTTAATTTAGATAAATGTGAGGTGCTGCGTTTTGGGAAGGCGAATCAAAGTAGGACTTATACACTTAATAGTAAGGTCCTAGGGAGTGTTACTGAACAAAGAGACCTTGGAGTGCAGGTTCATAGTTCCTTGAAAGTGGTAGATAGCATAGTAAAGTCGGCATTCGGTATGCTTGCCTTTATTGGTTAGTGCATTGGGTATAGGAATTGGGAGGTCATGTTGCAGCTGTCCAGGACATTGGTTAGGCCACTTTTGAAATACTGTGTGTGGTTCTGGTCTCCCTGCTATAGGAAGGATGTTGTGAAACTTGAAAGAGTTCAGAAGAAAGTTGCCAGGTTGGAGGGTCTGAAATATAGGGAGAGGCTGATTAGGCTGGGGCTATTTTCCCTGGCACAGAAGAGGCTGAGGGGTAACCCAATAGGGGTTTATAAAAATCATGAGGGGCATGGATAGGGTAAGTAGACAAGGTCTTTCCCCTGGCGTGGAGGAGTCCAAAACTAGAGGGCATAGGTTTTAGGTGAGAGAGGAAAGATTTAAAAGGGATCTAAGGGGCAATATTTTCATGCAGAGGGTGGTGCGTGTATGGAATGAGCTGCCAGTGGAAGTGGTGGAGGCTGGTACAATTACAACATTTAAAGGCTCTGGATGGGTGTATGAATAGAAAGGTTTAAAGGGATAGGGGCCAAATGCTGACAAACGGGACTTGATTTATTTAGGACACCTGGTTAGCACGGACAAGTTTGACCGAAGGGTCTGTTTCCATGCTGTACATCCCTATGACTCTAAGAAGCTAGGATTACTGCAGCGAGTAACTCACCTCCTGACTCCCCAAAACCTGTCCACCATCAACAAGGCACAAGTCAGGAGTGTGATGGAATACTCCCCACTTGCCTGGATGGGTGCACCTCCAACTACACTCAAGAAGCTGGACACATTCCAGGACACTGACACTACATTCACAAGCAACCACTCCCTCCACCACTGACGCTCAGTAGCAACAGTGTGTACTATATACAAGATGCACTGCAGAAAGTCACCAAAGATCCTTAGATAGCACCTTCCAAACCCACAGTCACTTCCATCTAGAAGGACAAGGGCAACAGATATATGGGAATACCATCACCTCCAAGTTCCCCTCCAAGCCACTCACCATCTGCACTGGAAATATATTGCTGTTCTGTCACTGTCACTGGGTCAAAATCCTGGAATTCTCTCCCTAATGGCATTATGGGTCAACCCACAGCAGGTGGACTGCAGCAGTTCAACAAGGCATCTCACCACCACCTACTCAAGGGCAACAAGGGATGGCAATAAATGCTGGCCAGTCAGTGATGCCCACATCCCACAAATGAAAAACAAATCACAAAGACACAAGCCCTAGCACAGATATCAATAAAGCATCGAGGATGATTCTGTTCTTGCACAAACGACACAGTGAATCAGTACCACACACAAGAAGGCCACTCTGTCCATCATGTATGCAGTGGCTCTCCAGAGTATAAGAGTGCTGCACCACATGCCATTCTTCTGATTTCCTCCATAACCTTGCACATCCTTCAATTTCAATATATCTATTCCCTTTTGAATGCCTCGATTGGACCTGCATGCCCCATACTTTCAGGCAGTGAATTCCAGACCCTATCCAATCATTGTATGGAAAGGTTTTTCCTCATACCACTTTTGCTTCTTTTATCAAACAGTTTAAACTTATGCCCTCTGGTAATATGAGCCTTTCAGAAGTGGAAACCTTTTCTCACTATTTATATTATGCAGATCTCTCTCGATCTTGAGCACATCAATTAGATTGCCTGTCAGCCTTCTCTTCTCCAATGAAGACAGTCTCAACTTCTCCATCTACTTTTAAAAGTGAAATTCCTCATTCCTGGAACCAGTCTTCTAAGCGTCTTCTACACTCTCTCCAATGCCTTCACATCCTTACTCAAGCACAGTGCCCAGAAGTGGATACAATAACAGCATTGTAATTGTACTAGACACAGGTCCTCCTGCTTCTGCACACCTTTTAGAATTGTACCCTTTATCTTAGGTTGTCTCTCTGTGTTCTTCTTTCCAACATTTATCATCTCACACTTCTCTGCATTGAACTACATCTACCAACTATCCATCAACATGACTAACTCCTTTTGAAATTTTACACTGTTCAGCTCACAATTTACAATGCTTCCAAATTATGTATCGTTCCCAAATTTTGAAACTGTGCCCTTCTCCGAGGTCTATATCATTAATATCATCAGAAAATGCAGAGGTGCACACATTGGCCCCAGGAAACTCAACTACAAATCTTCCCCAAGCTATTTGCTTTCCCACCACACAGCCAACTTTCTGTTCTTGTTACTATTATCCCTTTGTTCCATGATCTCTAACTTTGCTCACAAGTCTTTTGCACAGCTCTCTTTCAAATGCCACATGAAAGACCACGTACGTTATATCAATAGCTTTGCCCTCATTAACCCTTTTTGTTAACATCTCTGGTGGCTGTCCTTAATTAACTTGCATTTATCTATGTGACTAATAATTTTGTCACAAATGATTGATTCTTGAAGTCTCCCAATCACTGAAGTTAAACTTACTGGTCTGAATTTGCTGGTCTTATCCTTTCACTCTTTTCTGAACAAGGGCTTAATGTTTGCAATTCTCCGGGGCATTGGCATCTCCAAATGTAAGGAAAACTGCAAAATTATTGCCAGGGTCTCTGCAGTTTCCATTTTTACTTCCCTGAGTATCCCGTGTTTCTTAAGTCAGATCTCAATTATAGACACACCATTGCATGTCCACTTGGCAATCTGCACCCGAAACTCACTAATCTTACTTAGCACACTCCCCATGCTTTCCTGTACATGCACCATAATCCTGATTTAGACTTCATCACTTTCTGTCTTAACCTGACCCCATCTGTTAGCACTAGAACAAAGCATAGTAAGTTATCTTGTTTTCCACGTATGGTATTCCCCTGTGAAGTAATCTCCTAATTCCTAGACTCTGCTAAATTAGTTTTTACCTGCGCCAATAGCTCAAGCAAAACACCTTGTAAGGAACTCATTCCCAGTTCTGATCAGGTCAAACCATGAGCCCTGCAAAGGTCCCATCTTCCCAGAGCCTGTCCCAATGTCCCAAGAATCAAAAGCCCTCCCTCCTGTATCAGCTTTCCAGCCACACAGTCGTATCCACCTACACAAATTTGTGCATAGCACAAGGAGTAATCCAGAGATAACTGCTTTTGAGGTCCCGCTTACTAATTTTCTACCCAGCTCCCTAGATTCTGACTGCAGGCCATACCTCTTTGTACCTGCAAATGTAGACCATGACTGCTTGCTGTTCACCCTTTATCCTCAAGAGGTTCTACGCATGTCTGCAGTCAGAGAAATGTCTTGTCTATTCCAAATTGATTGCCACACTCAGTCTACATCTCACTCAGATTTAGTTGATTGACCATGTGCCCTTACCGAAGTGGATGTGCTTTTCAAAAGAGAGTCACTCGGTAATGCTGATTAATTTTCCCTTTTCCTTTCTGCATATCACGTTGCTGACACTAACAAAGTTGATATAATCTAGCCCACGGACCTGAGACAAAACCTGGATTTTCCATGTACAACAACAAGCAGTTCAGTATTTCACTGAGGCTTGGGGTTAGGTCTTTGAACTGAAGAAATCTCAAAAACAATTCTGCATTTTAGTGAACAGTAGTATGTCGGTACTGCTGGATGTAGGTCCAGAATTCATTGCCAGAGCTCTAGCTTGGATTATCTGTAGCAAGAGATAAACTGTTGCTTTTGACTCACAGGCTGGGATGCTAACACAAAGCCCAAAGCTCACTCTAGGTTTACTAATGTTAAACACCAACGCAAGTAATTCTGAGATCTCAGCACACCGGACCCTGCAAGAGAAGTCACTGTTGATACGTACACAGGTGTTCCTTCTCTGGCTTTGATGTTCCAGTATTCACTTCTATTTCCTTTGACATGATGTAAGCTTATCTTTCTAGAAGCTGGAGCATGAGAACCTGCAGGAAATAAAAGATTCGAATCTTCCAGTAACCATGAACATTTCACAGAAAAGCGTTGAAGGAACACTAAGAAAAAACCAACCTGCTTTCCATCATTGAATGTTGCCCCATGCCTTCAGTTTCCTATACTGGTTTGTATCCAAACTTGCACACAAGGTGAATTCCAGTCTTAATATTGAATTGAATAGCCTTTATTGTCACGTACATTCAAAATAAAATGCAGTGAAAAGTATGCACCATCGCTCGTACATAAGTGCCATTCACAGAATAAAGAAAGATAACTTGGAGAGTCCAACTTTCCTTCCTCGCTGCTACACCACCGCCAGCCCACGCTATGCTGCTGAGTGTCCAGCTCCAGGCTACAATAGTCCATACCATGCCGCTGTCGGGGGCCTATTCCATGTGGAAAATGAGAGCCCCACTCCATGCCAACCAACCGACTCAGTCGCCGCCGCTCCAGAGCCCATCGAAGACGCCTCCCCGCCGAAGAGCTCTCTCAGCCACCCATTACTCCAGGACTAGGCCCCCACAATGCCCCAGGTGCACGGTCTCTCGGCCGGTCTGACCCACATCCGATCCGCCAACATCACACCGACCGGCGCTCTGCTGCCGCTGCAGGACACAACCTGCATGCTCAGCTCCTGCCCGGTCACAGGAGGTGACTCCTTTCTTCAGGTTGCAGTTAAAATAGTTGAAGTTAAAAACAGTTAAGAGGTGGGGTAAGGGAAATACTGCAAAGGGAAGAGGGAGAGAGAAAGAAAAAAAAAGAAAGGAAAAGGAACTGGCGAGTCGAGGAGCTCCGACTGGAACATTTTACCATGCCATCAGCTTCTTTCCTTGATACACTGTTCAATAAAAATAAACATAGTCCCGTGATCCTAGCCAACACTCCTCTCTCTCCTAATATTATGCAATATATCTGATCATTCATGAAATGCTCTTCAGCTTTCTAGCTAGTTTCTGTCAGTTCTCCTCTGCAGTCTGCCTCATACATTTTTAACATTTTTTTTCCCCAGTTTTATACTAAGAAGACTGTTGTGCTTATCTTTTTAAACTTACTTCTTTATCTTTCTCCTTCTGTAACTAAGATTTTGTACCTAGGTACTTTGTACCTAAGATGGCACCATGTGAGGCAACATTGTACACTTTTCACTGTACTCCTGTACCCCTATTTGAGTACACATGACAATAAAACCTAAATCTAAATCGACCACTCACTGAAATGTTGTTTCAGCAAAGTTTTCACAGGCCAGAGAGAGGGATCAAGCCATTCAGTTCAAATGCAGGTTGTTTCAACATGCACTTGATTCACAGAATCAGTTTCTGCAAAGTATTTCTCAGCTTAACTGATTCAAATTGAAGAATTTTTCTAATGCCTCCTGCTAGATACTGTCAAACCGGACATGGCTAACAAGTAAAGAAAGCAAACATCTCATTAAAGATTGTTATAATTTAGCAGTCACGGCTTCTTTATTAAAATAAATGTAAAATACCGAGAAATTTTGAAACAAAAACAAAAAATGCTGAAAATTTTTCAGCAAGGAAGGCTGCATCTCTAAAGAAACAGAATTAATATTTCAAGTTGATGATCCTTCATCACAGATGCTGTCTGACATATTGAGTATTTCTAGCTTTTTAAAATTTATTACAACTATTTATTATTTGCTTCATACTCATAAGTTAGACTTGATAACTAAATGTTGCATTGTTGCTCTTTATTTATGATTTATTATTTATTGTTTTGCACATTTGGCAGTTAAAAGGCCAAGTCATGGTGTATTGCAGTTATTCTAGTGCCTTCTTAAGGCAAGGAAGATACACAAAGACAACTGTTAAGACCAGTAAGCCAACTTAAAGTGAAGAATGAAGAGGTTCATTTAAATAAGTCATCTAAGAATCTGTACCGCTAGGATGTCTTCAATTCATTAAATAACAATGAAATTGCATGATGTAGCCTGATCAATTTGTGAACTTGCATGTTTGTCACAGAGAAAAACAGCAGTGCACTGTTAATTTAACATGAACGATGGTCCTCTGAATTTTCTTGTCTTATCTTCCTAAATGTCTGATTGGCCTCAACGTTCTTCCTCCTGCTTACATTCCTACTGACTCTGCAGGACGTCTCCAACAACTCCAGCTCAAAATTGTGGACCTCTTACTGTCCTTCCTTCCTTATATAAACTGCAAATGTGTGTTTTTTTAAAATCCACATTTGGTGTCAATCACTACTCCTTTATCTGCCTAGTCTTTGCACTTATCTATTTAAGTCTCACTGCCCTGCCTAGCAAGTTCCACGTAACATGTATTTTAGCAATCTGACAACAGCCAGAATATCAAAACCTGAATAAAGGAAAATAAACAAACTAATCTCAAAAGGAAGCCTTGGCAAAAAAATACAAGCTGGGAATAGTGGCATATCGACCAGCAAGTACCACAAGACCATAAGATATAAAAACAAAATTAAGCCATTCGACCTATCGCGTCTGCTCACTCAAAGCTGATAAGTGTCTCAACCCTATTCTCCTGCCTTCTTCCCATAACCCTTCATCCCCTTACTAATCAAGATCCTACCTACCTCTGTCTCCACAGATTCACCATCTTCTGCCTGAAGAAATTCCTCCCATCTCAGTCACTCCGAAGCAGTACCCTTGGGTCCTAGTCTCTCTGACTAGTAGAAACATGCACTCTATTCAGGCCTCTCAGTATCCTGCAAGTTTCAATCAGACGCCCCTCATCCTTCTCAATTCCATTGAGTACAAACCCAGAGACTTCAAATGCTCCTCAGATGGCAAGCCCTTCAGCTTCGGAATCATTTTTGTGTACCTCCTCTAGAACCTCTAAACTGCTCACAATATTCAAAATGTTGTCAGACCAGAGTCTTACACAGCTTCAGCAGTACATCAATGCTCCTGTATTCTAGCCCTCTTGAAATGAATACTGACATTGCATTTGCCTTCCTAACTGGCAACTGAACCAGCATGTTAACCTTAAGGCAATACAGAACCAGAACTAAGTGTTTTATGCTTCAGATTTCCAAAGCCTTTCCACATTTAGAAAATGGTCTACACATCTATTCTTCCTCCCAAATTGCATAACCTCATACTTTCCCACATCGCACTCCAACTGCCACTTCTTTGCCTACTCTCCCAGCCTATCCCAATCCTTCTGCAGTCTCCTGCTTCCTCAACACTACCTGACCCTCCACCTATCTTTGTGTCATCTGCAAACTTAGTAACAGTGCCCCCAGTGCCTTCATCCAGACTATTAATGCATAAACCAAATAGTTATGGTTACAACACTGACCCCTGCAGAACTCCACCAGTTGCCAACTACCATCCTGAAAAAGATTCCTTAATTCCCACTCTCTGCATTCTGCCAGTTAGCTAATTGTTTATCCATGCTAGTACCTTGCCCCTAACAATATGGGCTCACCTTATTCTGGAAATTCAAATAGGTCACATCCACTGGCTCTCCTTTGTCTAACTTGATTACTACCTCCTCAAAGAATTCCAACAGATTTGTTAGGCATGACAATGCCTTTATACGAACCTTGAATGACAAAATGTGAGGATGCATTACAATAAAATAATTGTTTCCACTCTCAAAATTTACAAGCACGAACATTAGGTGATCATGTGCATCGTACTGCATCCATTCTGTGCATCTTTCTGTGACACACTCACTCCATTCAGGTAAGTGAGCCACTCAGCCTTCACATCAAACAATACTGAGCCGCATTGAGAATGTCAGATTCACTACAGGAACCATTTATTATTACTTACATAAACACTATTTCAATGATACCCTCAAAGAAGATAAAATAACCTTCTTGTTCAGAATCTGATGCAAGTCAACATTGAATATATACGTTAAAATATCTCAGAGGAACACTCACCTCTCCCGCACTTTAACACCAGAGGCCTCCCCTCACGGGAGCTTCTCCACGATGCCTGTTGGGGATTGTAGTCCTCTCCGGCACGATCCCACGTTGCAAGGATACGTCAGGGCGGAGAGACAGAACTACAATTCCTAGAAGGCAACGCGATGCGTGTCAACCCGCGCTTGCGCATTGAACGTCGTGCGGTGATTAAGTCAGTGATTCCTGCACTACTAGCTAGTAACTTGGATGTGGGAATTTCATATCATTTCCGGTCATCGAAGATAGGAATTTTACCTACCTTCTCATTCGTTTTGAAGCAAACTCACATCTGGTATTGTCTTTAAATTTGGACGTTTATCTGAATTACAATTTTTGATGAATAAAAGAATGGGGAGTCCAAGGCTATTTTTAAACTTAAATAAGGGACATCATAAGGGCATGAAGCTAGGCTGGCTAAAGTATACTGGGGAGTTAAGTTCAAGGAATAGGTCAATAGAGATGCAGTGGCGGGCATATTCAGGGGATATTTCTCAATACTCTGATGACAAAGAAAAATTCTAAGTGGAGGAATCACTGTTCATGTTTAACTAGAAAGTAAAAATAGTTAAGGCATATAATGCAAAGATGGTTGGCAGGTCAGAGGATTGGACAGAATGTAGAACAAAACATTGAATAGCTAATAGATTAATTAGATATGAGAGAAAGCTAGCTAAAATGAAAGTAGTATGTTGTATTGTGGTAAAATAAATCAGGGCAGCATCTCACACAGTTAATAGTAAGGTCCTGTTGACAAACAGAGACCCAGAGGATGCAAGTGCATAGTTCCTTGAAAGTAGGGTCACAGGTAGACAGGTTGGTGAAAAAGGCATTTGACACGATTGCCTTCATTGATCAGCGCATTGAGATTAGGAATAAAAACAGAAGTTGCTGGAATAGCTCAGCAACTCTGGCAGCATCTGTGAAGAGAAGGTCCGGTGACCCTTCTTCAGAACTGTTTCTGTGCTGTATGATTCTGTGACTCAGTAAGAGATTCTCTAGCTTTTTATAGAAGAAATGAGTTATGAAAACTTGCATTGAGCCTGTATTAAGTGAGTTTGGGGAGTTAAATATGAAAAATACCATTCTTTATTATTGAGGGTACAAATAACACCCCAGAAATAGCTGTAAATCAGAAAATGGAAGGAAGGGAGGAACTCAAAATTGCAATCACCCAAGGAAATGGTACTGAGTAAATTGTTGAACTTGTGAGCTGACACATTCCCTGGATCCTGATGGATTTCATTCCTGATTTTCTTGAAATAAAGGGCTAGTAAGATGGTTTTCCAGACTTCCCTAACTGGGGAAAGTACCATTGGATTGGAAATTAGCACATGTAACTTTTCTATTCAAAAGTGATGGGAGAAAGAAAGTGGTAAACTACAGGCCAGTTAACAATTGTCATAAGGTACCTATCAGAAGCTGTTATTAAAGATGATATGGCAAGGTACTTAAAATGTGTCAAGTTAACCAGGCAGAGTCAACATGTTTTTGAAAGGGAAATCACTTATAACCAATTTATCAGAGCTCCTTAAGAAAGAAACGTGCTATTGGAATGAGGAACCCAGAGGTTGTACTGTACATGGTTTTCCAGAAGGCATTGATAAAGTGCTGAGTCAAAGGTTACTGCAGAAAATAAAATCTCATGTATAGGGAGTAACATATTGCATGAATTGAAGATGGGTTAACTAGGAGGAAACAGACAGTTGGCATCATTAGATCATATTCTGGTTGACAAAACATAGCAAGTGGTGTGCCCAAGAGACCAGAGCTGGGCCTCAACTTTTTTACAATTTATATAAATGTGTTGGATGAAGAGATGACACGTATGTCTCCTAAATTTGCCAGCGAAGTTAAGTAGGAAAGTAAGTTGTGAAGAGGACATAAGGATAGAGGGATATAGATAAGTTGTGTATGGGCAAAGAGCTGGTAAATGCAGCATTATTTGAGACAATGTGAAATTGTCCATTTGTCTGAAAGAATGAAGAAGAACTATATTATCTAAAAGGTGAAAGATTCCAGAGCTCTAAGATATAGAGAGATATGGGAGCCCTGGTATGTAAATTGTAAAGTGTTAGTTGCAGTTATGGCAAGTAATGAGGAAAGCTAATGGAATGCTTTATGTATTGCAATGGAAATTAAATCCAAAAATAAGAAGGCTGTACTTCAGTCATACAGGACGTTGGTGAGATCACATTTGGAGCCTTATGTACAATGCTGGTCTCCTTATTTAAGGAAGGATACAAATGCATTGGAAGCAATTCAGAGAAGGTTTTCTAAACTAATACCTGGAATGGATAAGTCGTGTTACAAAGAAAGGTTGAACAGGCCAGGCTTGTATCGACTGGAGTTTTGAAGAGTAAGAGACACATTGATTGAAATTTGCAAGATTCCAAAGAGTTTTGATATTGTGGATGTGTAAAAGCTGTTTTCTCTTGTGAGAGAATCTAGAACTAGAGGTCACTGTTTAAAAATAGAGGTTGCCAATTTAAGACCGAGATGAAAGAATTATTTTCTCTAAGAGCATATTAGTTTTTGGAACTTTCTTCCTTGAAAGGAAGTGGAAGCAGAGTCTTTGAATATTTTTAAATCAGAGGTGGATAGGTTCTTGGTGAACAAGAGGTTGAAGGTTGTTAGGGATATGCAGCCATGATCTTATTGAATAGCGGAGCGCGCTTGAAGGCCCGAATGACCTCTTTCTGCTTTTCATTCATATGTTCATAACTAATGTAATCATTGTTTAATTTTAGGTGGGGACAGTGACATAGTGGATTTGTTAATGGACTTAACAAATGAGTTCAAATCCTAACACAATTAGGAAATCTAAATCAATGAAATACCTGGAATAAAACGCTCGTATCAGGAATGGGGAGCAAGAAACTTGTAAAAGTTAATCAAATCCTGTAATGTTTTTGAGTAACATATATCTTTCCCCTGGCTTTCCCGATCCACTGTGTATTTAAATGGTTGTTTGGTAGTACAAAACATCATGACTTCCAATATGGCAGCAGTGGAGTGAGCAGCATTTGGCTCCTGAGCGTGGGGCTTGTCTGCTCATGGGACAGGTCTGGCCTCGTTCACACAGATTCATCGTTGTCTTTCTAGCTCAGTAGCTCATGCAAAGTCCTTCTTATTAACATCTGGGGGCTAGTGCCAAAATTCAGAGAGCTATCCAGTCAAGCAACATCCTGACATAGTCACACTCACAGAATCACACCTGACAGGCAATGTCCTGGACACCACCGTCAGACTTTTGAACGGACCTGTCAAATGTTAACATTGATCTCTCTCTCTCTGTGCCTTCTCTGTGGCTGTAACACTATTCTGCATTCTGTTCTGCCACCCTGATGCACTTTGTATGGTATGATCTGCCTGGATCGCACGCAAAACTACACTTTTCACAGTATCTCGGTGCATGTGATAACAATAAATCAATCAATCACCATCCCTGGATATGTCCTGCCCCATTTGCAGGACAGACCCAGCAGAGATGGCAACGCAATGGTATACAGTCAGAAAGGAGTTTCCCCTGGTGTCCTCACATTGACTTGGGACAACATGATGTCTTATGGCTTCAAGTTAAAACATAGGCAAGAAAATCTCCTGCTAATAATCACGTACCATCCTCCCTTGACTGATGAATTGGTATTCCTCTATGTTGAAGAACACTTGGAGGAAACACAGATGGTGGCAATGGCAGAGAATGTACATTAAATGGGGGATTTTAATGTCGAGCCACTAAGTGGCACCGCTGATCGAGCTGATCAGATCCTAAATGGCATAGCTGCCAAACTGGATCTGCAGCAGGTGGTGAGGGAACCAAAAGAAGGAAAATCATAATTGACCTCATCCTTACCAACTTGCCTGTCTCAGATGCATCTGTCCATGACAGTATTGGTAAGAGTGACCACTGAACTGTCCTTGTGGATACAAAGTCCAGTCTTCACATTGAAAATAACCTCCATCGTGTTGTGCAGCACTATCACTGTGCTAAATGAGACAGACTTTGAACAGATCTAGCAACTCAAGGCTGGGCATCTATGATGCACTGTGGACCATCAATGGCAGCAGAATTGTACTCCAGCACAATCTGTAACGTCATATCCCCCACTCAGCCATTACCATCAAGCCAGGGGATCCACCCTGGTTCAATGGAGAGTGCAGGAAGCCAAGAGCAGCACTAGACATACCTAAAAACAATGTGGTGTCAATCTGGTGCAGATGCAAATCAGGACTGTCTGCATGCCAAGCAACTTAAGGAACAAGTGATAGATAGAGCGAAGTGATCCTACAACCAACAGATCAGACCTAAGTTCTGCAGTCCTAGCACAAAGGAAAATGGTCTCCACTGAGTGGAGTCATACCTGACACATCGGAAAATGGTTCCTTTCACTGGAGGTCAATCATCTCAGCTCCAGGACATTTCTACAGGAGTTCCTCAGGGTAGTGTCCTAGGCCCAACAATCTTCAGCTGCTTCATCAATGATCTTCCTTCCATCATAAGATCACAAGTGAGGATGTTTGCTGATGATTGTGCAATGTTCAGCGCCACTCACATGTCCTCAGATACCAGAGCAGTCTATGTCTAACTGCAGCAATACTTGGACAATATGCACGCTTAGGCTGACAAATGGTAAGTAACATTCACGTCACACAAATGCCAGGCAACAACCATGATTAAAAAGAGACAATCTAACCACAGCCCCTTGACATTCAATGACGTTACCGTCACTGAATCCCCCACTATCAACATCCTGCGGCTGACCATTGATAGAAACTCAACTGGAGTCACTACATAAACACTGTGGCTATAAGACCAGGTCAGAAACTAGGAATACTGTGGTGAATACTCACCTCCTGACTCCCAAACCTGTCCACCATCTACAAGGGACAAGTTAGGAGTGTGATGGAATAGGATCATTGAATCATCGAGGTCTACAGCATGAAAACAAGCCCTTCAGCTCAACTTGCCCATGCCTCCCAACTTTCACAATTTAAGCTAGTCC